TGGGGAGCACTACAGTGAGTAGGCAGATTTGAACAGGTGGGTTTTTAATTGGGATTTGAATATGGTGATTGTGTCTGATGACGTCACGGCTCCGCCTACACTGCGTTACTATAGTTACTGCCCAAGTTACTAAACTGTAATGGAAACGCAGCATAAAGTGAGCCAGTCCTACCAAGGCCTAACTATACCGTACTAAGCCGAGTGAGGCCCTGCAATGGAAATGCGCCATTAGTTAACTTGCTTAGTTTAAGTGAATTCCTGGATGCCAAGGGGATCATTAGCATGTTATTTAATGCTTAACACTCTGGAGTTAAGTCGACAGCAATTGAGCCAAGTTTAATATATTCAGACAACAGCAAATTCATAAAAACGTCTGTGCTATGTAGGAATTTATTTGATTCTGACTCAAGGAGAGTGTGAAAAACTGAGAAATGATCTCACTAAACCAATCACACACACTAAAGCTATTATATATACTGTATATATGTTTATGTTATCACCTCCATTTACCGAGTCTCCCCTGAAATCGTTTGACGCCCTTCTTGCACTTTGAAAGCCTCTCATGTATTGCCCTACACGTGCAACCAACGGACAGTTAATGTTCAGCATTTTATATTGAAATATGATTTAAATTGGCAGTAAAACAGGAATTCTCCATCAACATTATAGTAATGTGTGGCATAGATGAGTGTAGAAATAGATTTCATACAGCACTTTGTGGGTAAATCAAAGTTTAAAAAGGCCTTGTTTGTCTTTTTACATTTGATTGAAGTAGGTCAGTTACAGCGGGTCCTCTGGACTTGCAGTGACGGAACTTGAAGACACAGAGAAACAGAAAGTGTCAGAGATGAGACGTGCGTCTGCTCCTCGTCTCTCCCTGACATCTTGAGTGATTATCCCTCTCAATCTTTAAACAGGGATGCCTGACTAGCATGCATGTTAATGAACAGATACATTACTTACTGCTCTCATCTTCATCACTATTTAAACACAAACTATGGATGACATGATTTTAAAGCTATAATATGCTTCTTGCTTGATATGCATCCTCGTTTTTAAGAGAACAAGATGTCATTTTTTATATCTGTTAACTGTAAAATACAGACTGAGTAGAGACTGAAAGAGGAACGTTTAAATCAGAGCAATATGAAAAGTTTACAGTTCTTCGTTGCAAGTCTTCATGTATAGTTAAAAGTGCTTTACATACATTTAAACTCTGAAAGAAGTCTGAAAGAAACTTTAGGTTGATTTAAAAAGTGTGAACATGTATATACATCTAAAGAAAATACTGTCAAATGTAAATACGATTTAAAAAGAAATAGAAGTAACAACATTAGAAGTCAGCACAAAATAATAGCCTGCTTTTAAAGACAGGGGGTGTTTCTCAATGTCGAGGACGCTTCCTTAGTAGGACATGTCTTCCGAGTCAGGTCCTTCAGAAGCGAGGCAAGAATCCTTCCTAGCCTCGGAAAACGAAGAATGCGTGTAACAGGCTAACAGGTGTGCGTCATATGCGAGGCCCCGCCTTAAATGGAGCGCGATTTTTGGTCCGTGCGCAAAGCATTGTGGGGATTTTAAGACCGCGGAGGATACACATGTGCAGCCTCGAAATTTCCCTCAAAGAAGTACGCCGGCCTCCGTAGAATTCCAAGGATCCTGGACATTGGAACAGTCCTTCGGCGGGACTCGATGACGTAGCACCCTTGAAATAGTGGCTCTGGAGGATCCTTCATCGACATTGAGAAACACCCAGTTACTCAGCTAATCACTATGATACTTTGATAATATATAATTTTGACTTAATTATGTTTTAATTTGAGCATTATTGCAGCAGTAAAAAAGTAGTGCCAGTTGTTGTGTTAGTAATGTTTGGAACAGTGCTTGAAATGTGAGAAACATTCCCACGTCTCTTAAACCCTCAACATTTAAAAACTCTTGCAAAACTTGTGTAATATCAAAACAAGGTGTTGGAAAGTGAAACTTCCACTGCGAGGACGATGTTCTCCCATCTGTCTCGTGTGAAGTTTGTTTTCCTCTGATGTTTCCGGGGTTAAACTGCAGCGCTACTTTTTGTCTCTCATCTCGGCCTGTTTTCGTTGTCCTCACTCCCGCTCTCCCAGGCTCACTGGAGGGTAGCGAGGGTAACTCAGCATAAGTGAAGCAGGACCAAAAACTCTGAAAAGCTTTTAAGTAGTAGGCGAGCAGACAATAATGAAGACGAGGCTATCGGGAGAGAAGGAGGAGGAGAGGAGCGAGAGGGAAGGAGTTAGTCATTAAGAAGGAAGCAGTGAGGCTTTACAACCGTGTGTGTTGGGAGGGTCATTGAGGAAGCAATCCCTGGGTGTGCAGAGCTTTCAGGCGCTGTGTGTATGTGAGGAGACAGGATCCCCGGTCGGTTGTGGCGTCACCTTTGGGAGCGGTGGGTGTAGCGAGGGGGGGGGGAAAGCACGGAGCAAAGTTGAGTGGAGTAGCACAGTGTCAGTCTAATTGCCTGATTGTACTCGAGCCATTCTGCCGCTATGTGACTCTGATGGAAGTGTGTGTGGTAATCCTGTTAAAAGCCTCACAGGCCTCTCGCCTTTAATTCTGTACGAGGTGCAGAAGTAGCGAAACACGTTAGTTTACGACTGGCTAGTAATCGGACCTTATTGCTGCTCAGCCGGGAGGACACACTCACTCTGAGCAGCGTTAGTGCATCTCACACACACACACACTTGAACATACTTGAATATACACACGCAGTATATTGTGTGTATGCTTGCATGTCTACATCATAAGCAGTCATGCACCAGTTAAACGTTTGTAAGTCTGTCCGATTTCCCTATATATGGTAATATTAAGGTCCATTGCAGTGAAATTACTCATTTGTTTATCCTCACCATGGCCAAAACACTCAGAATAGTTTTTAAAGGAGCCATTAAAAGTTTATATTCTGTAAAAGATGTCTCACTGCTGTGGGGAACGAAGCTATGAAGCTTTCTTTTAAAATGTTGTTGGACAAATGGAAGATGTGAAATATGACTGACTGATGAAAATGTTTAATCTGTGTCATATCGGTGAGGCAAAATAGAACTACATAATATAATATATTATCTACCAGAGAATACTTACAAGGTTACTTTATAACTCGCCCGGTACATACTCTTGTAAAAGTAGTTTAAGGGTAGTTTGTTTAATATGAATATAGGATGATCTTTTGTTAGATTATATCTTTTTGAAACTGTCTTCCTGTTTCTCCTTCTCCTGCCTGTCTTTTGTAATCGGTCAAAGTCTTAAAGCTGTTCAACTTATACAATACTTTACCTCTGAATAAATATACATTTCCACTGAGTACTAGATGTGACTAAGTGAGGATAATTATGAAGCGTGCTGAACATTTGAATTCATAAAGAAACGAGTCGTTATTAAATCCATAATTAACCTTTTAATGTGAGTGAGGGTGAAGGCTGTGGGTATGAATGCGTGGGTTTGAGTTCATCTGTGTTTATGTACTAAATGTATGTGAAGAGCAAAGGTTTGAGAAGACCCCCCCCCACCCCTCATGTTAACTCTCTCTTTTGTCCCTCTTCTCTCTCTGTAGCGCATTAACGCTCTGGCAGAACAGACGGACGTGCTCGTGTCCTACATGTCTCGGAAGTCTCAGACCCCCGGACAGGTAAATCACACTTTAAGATCCTTTCCTTCAAGATGCACTCTTTAAAACCTTATGCAACACAAGGGGGATGTATGGCTTAAATATGAAGTGGTAAATATGTAGACAAAATGCACACTCTGAACCTTAATGATGAGAATATCCCTTTTTTAAAACCACGCATTTTTATCCCAGAGTATACAATCATGCACTGTTTTTTTAGAATTGTATTTTCTTTATCATCTTCCACCAGATTGAGCACGTTTTCATCTTTTGCCATTCAAAGCATAACGGTGGCAATATTTAAAACATCTAGCCTTTTTTTAAACGGTTACAAATAATTCTTACTGATGAATATTTGGTAGCAATGGCCAGGCTCAATGTTGTTTATTCAATTCGTATATTAAATCTAGTTATAATTTTAACATTAACAGTTTTAGAAAGCGGACATTTTTATCAGCGCAAGGGATGCACAGAATTCTTTAAGAGAAAATAATTTATTTACTGTTCTTCATGACTCCTAGTTGTAATAAAATCATTGCACAAGTCATTTTGTTTTTGATGTAAACATTTTCTTTTTGTGCACAGCTCGGCAAGATCAAGACCCTTCTGAGCCTGATCCCAGACTTCACTGAGAAGGATTTGGTGAACACGTATCTGATGAAATGTCATGGTAAGAGACACACACACACACACACACACACACACACACACACACACACACACACACACACACACACACACACACACACACACACAGGTCTGGATGGGTCTTGTGCAGCTCGCTGTAAGTCAACATTAGCGGACGCATTAACAATGCATCAGGTCCAGGAGTGTGTGTGTGTGGGGGGTAGCAGACATTCAGGGGTTACAGGAACACATGTCCTCTAATGAGTTAGCTGTCCTGGCTAGCCTAGCGTGCTAATCGCTACACAGTTCACCACTCAACTTTTTCTTCCCGCATTTTCCCCTCCTCTCTGCTTTGCCTCTTGCCCTCTCCACCTTTTTTTGTCCTCCCGTCATCTCTCCTACCTACACCCTCTTCACCTCCTCACCCGCCTGTCTCCCCTCTTTTGTACCAGAGCTGAGAGGACATGACTATTTAATTAGCATCAGCTAGCAGCTCGGTCAAGGCAGTCATGGGGGAAACAATTAGTGATGCTCTGCTCGCCTCTGGTCTCTGCCCCTCCATGGACTCCTTCCATTTTCTCTTTGTGAGGTTTTTCCTTTTCTTTTGCCTTTTTTAAACTTGCTCTTCTCTTTTAGGTTTTTGACAGTAGTGATCATACTTTCCATTTGTATCTCTTTGATACACAACCGCACACACTAATGCTGTTTCACACTCGCATATGGAAATATACTTCCGGGTACATCTGCCTATAGAGGGAAATCGCATACATAGATCAATCATACTGAAGTATTTAGATAGTTAAAGGTTTTTACAAAGTATGTTTTTTCCCCGTGGCTTTATCTTCAAAAAGACTTATTATGCTAATTTTCAGTGATTGGTCAACTTAGATATGTCCCATCCCTTGCTTAGCCTATCACATACAATCAGTTTGAGCTAATATAATATAATAGAAGCGCAAGTGTTACATAGTGATCCAGAAGTAAACAACGCTGTCCAATGGAGGCGTTACAGGCGGGGGGTGGGGGGGTGTGGGAGAGAAACTCGCTCTGGAGGGAGCGTTGAGATATTTGCCTTTGCAGACCATTTACATCCACACAAACCTGTGCCTATAACACACTACAGGAAAGGGGAACACCTCAAGGAGCATAACAGGGCCCCTTTTAATGTACATTTTTAACGATGACTTTAACATGTTGACTTTTCTCCCCCCCCCCTCAGTTACCGACAAAGACTTTTCGTCGGCCAAGGCCCTGTATGAAGAGTGGCTGAAGAGCGGAGGGGAGATAGACAAGCTGTCACTCAAACGGCTGGCCGTGATGTACAGAGAGTCCGGAGAGGAGGTGCCCTTCGAAGAGCCCCCGGTGAGTCTCACACACACATATATACAACTAAATGTGATTGGGTCCTCTACTTAATACACTCAAACAGACCTCAACAACGTAACAGGTTATTTGTCTCAAAGTCAAACAAGGAAACTGTGACTTTTCCCAGCTCGACTCCCAAGACGAGCTGACAAAATAATTACCCATCACAAAAGATTAAGAACATCGGCAAATCCTCACTTTAAAAATAATTTCAACCATTAATGGATTATAAAAATGCTTGCAGATAATTTTTGTATCCACCAATTTTACGGTAGACCAACAGATTGTTGCAGATTAAGGTTGTGTGTGTGTGTGTGTGTGTGTGTGTGTGTGTGTGTGTGTGTGTGTGTGTGTGTGTGTGTGTGTGTGTGTGTGTGTGTGTGTTGCAGACATGAACAATATATTATGAACAGCTTTGTGTACAAGCACACAGTACAGCTCCTAAACTGATGCTGGCAGTCCTGTGTGTGTGTGTCAGAGTACATATAGTGTGTAAGGGAGATGGTGTCACTGCAATACTCTCTGTTTCTGGCTTTCTGGAGTGTTTTTGAGCATTTCAGGACATTTTGTAACTTGATGTAGCCCTATTTTGGGCAGAGGACTCACACTCGTATCAACACACAGACACACACACGGAGCCCTCTCAGCCTCAGCACTTTAATGCGCTGTCCCCTGGAGGCAGGTGAACACCAGAAGCCCACCTCTTACCTCCCCTTCACTCACCTGCAGTGCAAAGATAGACGAGAGAGGGATGAAGGCAGAGCAGCTGCTGCATTATTCACAGGATGTCAGGATACTTAAGTGATGGCTGCGTTTCATAAGCAGAGGGAAAGGTGAGGTCATGGTGAAGTTTCCCTGAACTCATCGCAGGTAGAAAGCCACCTATATCTATCTAAAGGCTGCGGCACCATGACGACAACAGCAGGAACGTGCTAAGATTAAACACACCTAGATTTATTTCTAGAGGCGCATGGAGCAGTTATTTAAGTTAGCTTTTTTTAAATAAAAAAAATGCTTTTACATTTTTTTGGATGGGAATCCAGGTCTCTAATAAGAGTCATGTAGATAAAGAATAATAAAACCAATGTTCAAAGTTGATTTATTGTCACTGTACATCACTATGGGTTGTTATATAATTATGGCCATGGTGTATAGCATGATATAACAAATAACCATTTAATAAAGTCGCAGTATGGGATGTTGAATAACAAAAAACATACATAAACAAAAAACATCATAGTATAAAACGTTAATGTGTCATCAATATAAAAATATCAAATTGTTCTTGTATGAATGAGACTCTATATTACCAATAATCTCAGTAATCCCAAAAACACAATATCATCAGTTTTTATTCGGGATTACTTCTTCATTAGGAAGTGTAAAAGGAAAGGTGTGGATTATCCAAAGTATCAGACTATTTCTAAAAGTCATACACTTGTTATTGCGCTGAGGACCAGAAATGAAACAAACAAAAATATTTCAATATATATCTCAAAACCTGAACACGTAAAATAAAATCTAGTGAGAAAATGTGTTTTTGTACTTTGGGTGAACTGACCCTTTTCCAAAGCGTCTCATCTTCCTGCAGGATCTCTGCCTCTCTTTGCTTCTACAGTGAACCCAGCCATTTATCAGCATTAATTACTACATCAGTAAGCAAACGTACATTGTAAGAAGCCGGCGTAATCTGCAGGAAAGCTCTCACCTTCTCCCCTCCAAAACACACTTTGTCTGGATCAAAACCCTGATTAATTAGCGGGGAACAGAGGCCGAGAGCCAGAGAGTGCGTTAGGGGAGCGCCAGACAAATCCCTCATTTGTGTATTAACGGGGATTTAAAGATGAAACAAGGAAACTTGGTTGCAGAGTGGAGACTGTTTAGACAGACCCAGGAGGGCTTACATCTGGTACACACACACACACACACACACACACACACACACACACACACACACACACACCACACCTGGTGGTGGGGGGTGCTCATTGGTTACTTGAATTACACTGGGGGAAAGTATAGGCCTATAGGAATAGTATTAAGTGAGGTGATTTACTTCATTATCTTCATTTTAATCTACTTTATTCTCAAGTAAAAGTCCTGCATTCAAAAATGTTCCTCAAGTAAAAGAAGTACTCAGATCTTGTACTTGAGTCAAAGTAGAAGTACTCAGATCTTGTACTTGAGTAAAAGTAGAAGTACTCAGATCTTGTACTTGAGTAAAAGTAGAAGTACTCAGTTGTTTTAACGGACATTTGAAAGGAAAAGGATTCAGAGGAATATCATGAGATCAAAACGTCTGAAACACATTTCCCTCAACTGACAGTGAACAGTTAAATATGACAATTTCTGCTAAAAAGTGACTAATTGTGTAAAACAAAATATCTATTTATTTACTTAATTCACTCTAAGTTCCTGTTTATTTCTGATGTGACGACATTAGCATATTAACAAAGTGTGGAACACAGAGTCACAAACTCAATTGTTTCTGCAAGGATTTCTTTATTGTTGGAAATACAGGTCAGTACAAATTCTGTATTTAACATTTCCAGTAACCAGTGGCTGCTAAGGTGAGTCAGTGTGTGAGCAGGTAATGTTACATTACATTTAGCTGACGCTTTTACCCAATCTTACTTTTACCCAATCTGCAAAAAAGGTGCAATCAACCACGAGGATAATAAACTTGGAAAAGCAACGATCTTTTTATTTTGAATTTGTCGAGGTGCAGTCTGACCGAATGCGCTCTCTTCTCATTGGAAGCAATTGAGAGAAGGAGGCTGCGATCAGAAAAAGCCGTATAATGCTGAACAACTCAATGCTTCTTATAACACGGATTGGTTGAATACTCGGTTCTGATTGGTCAATTTGGACTGATCAATGGACTATGTGCAGACATATCAATCCGCCGAAAGTAGTCCGGTCAATTTAACTTAAGCTGTTACCAAAAGAACGTTTTCCTCCAACAGAAAACACTGTGAAATATCTTTTATATGTGTGGGGTGCTCATACAATTTGGATTCATAGTTAAATGTTTAAAAAAAATGTGAACAGACTTGGACAGCCGGAAAAACCGCCATCAGTTCTGCCTTCATATTAAAGGTCTCCTATTATGCTATTTTTAGGCATATATTATGGGTCTCAGATATATAAAAATGTATAAAAATTCCTCAGAAAATAATAATAATAATAAAAAAATGTATAGCGCCTTTCAAGAGACCCAAGGACGCTTTACAATGGGAAACAAAAAAAAATAATAATAATCACAAGGATAAAAAAATCCCTCATATCTCTCTGTTTCAGTCCTGTTAGAGAAATGCAGATTCGGGGTCCTTAGCTGCTGGCCCCGCCCCCTGTGGAGCACGGCAAGGCACACTGTGAGCTCCAAAGAGAAGAGAGATTTCTACTGGCAGATACTCAGCTAAATGCTGCCGTGGTTAAACGCCATATTATGTTCCAAACCACATCAAGGATTATTTCTGAAATAATATGGAGCTCAAACTCTTTTTGTCTCTCAGGTTTACCACAAGGTGAGTTCCTTTTTATTTCCTGCTTCTTCACACATGCTCTCTCCAGTGCAGGTTAGCCCTGAGTGTTAGCGATGCTAATGTAAACACAGACCAAATTACGTCCAAAACACGTCTCATTGTTTCTGATAGTGCCGTGGGTGTAAAGCCCGCCCACATTTGAGTAATGTCGTCATGACGCCGCAAATCTGGATCAGCTCCGTTGTTCCCCCCGTTTTTAGATAGAGGTTTTTATTTACGAAAGTACAATATAGTCAGGGTTGGGAAAATCAGGACCCAAATGCAGAATGAGGAGAAGGGGTACAAGGTACAACAACAAGCGAGCTTTAATTAACAAAAGCTGTTGAGTATGAAAAAACAAGAAAAAACCAACAGGGAGGAACATGGAGCAGAGGGAATACAAGACTAAATGATCATATTCATTTATACTTTAACACTTTTTGAAATAGGCACTCACACGGTGGGAGAAAAAAACCAAACATTTTTATTACATTTACATCATTTTACAAAATAAGACACTGACAGCGTTGGAGATATTTGGTCCTCTGCTTAGTTCCTGAGCGACGTCCATCATGCACTTGTTACGGCATGATGGACATTTTGAGTCAGAGTTTGTCACATAAACACGACATTACAAAAAAATATCCTGTGAAATGAATATATTTGTTTAACCACTAAATGTACCCTCAGTTCCTGTTTACTTCTAGCTAAACGAGTAAACATGCTGCAGATATGTAAGGTTAAACTTCATTTAAGTTAAAGCGAGTAAGCATTCACATTAGGGCCGGGACTCGATGAAAAAAATTAATCTAATTAATTAGAGGCTTTGTAATTAATTAATCGCATTTTTAATCAAATATAAATATTTGACCTGAGAACAGTGAGAAGCAATTTTTTTCACATGGATTTTAGTATACCATTGAATAATGACTGAATACATAAGCTTAAGCAACAAAACATTGTTTATTTTTTCAAGGAGGTTCTTAACCAAGACCAACAGAAAAGTGCAATTTTTGCCATAAAGTGTAGCAATAGCATATTTAGGAATATAGTACATTTCAGAGATTCAGGTAGCCTATAGGTAGGTAGACCTTCTGTAAACTATAACACTTTGTTTTTTAAGTATAACACAATACTTTCAAGTACATTCAGAACATTGGAAACCCTGACTATTAGAAAACATCTCTCTGTTGCTTCAGAGGCCATAACAGACTTTGTTGATTTACCAACAGTTGATTTAAAAAATCTAATCAATTTCAGTCCAACTCTCTCAATAACCTTGGCCAAAACAATAAACAGTTCAACATAAAGTGCCAGTTGCACCAACAACGTAATAAATAGTTCAACATAAAGTGTACCATTTAAAATAAAATAAAAAAGTGCCAGTGATTGACCTCAATCCCTCCTATTCTTCCAATATCCTGATGAAAAATAAAATCTCTCTGTTGCA